TTTTTTTTTCCTTTTTTTTTTTTTTCCCTTTTCCGGGGGGGGGGGGGGGGGGGGATGTTGCAACCTGACGCCACTTTTTTTCTTCATATATCATCTAAATGAAGGTCATTCATTGCAAAAATGATGATAAGACATGAATCTGGGATTGAGAAATATTTCCAATTTTGTTAGGGAAAAAAGTTCTTGACTCTCCATAGACTTTGTACACAATGTGGAAGTGGTGCGCGTCAGGTTGCAACATTTTTTCCAGGCTGCATCCGATTCAATTAACAGACTGTCTAGAGCACGTCCACACCCAGTGAAAATATGCGGGGACGCGCTGACAATATTTCGTAGCCATACATGTAGCTCTGTGCATAGAGCTAATAGGGTTTGTAGCTCTATGCTCCATGGAAGCCTGTTTCAGACACGGCCTGAGCTGAGGCACCCGCCAGACATTGCATGGCCTTATGGGATACTTACCCAAGTAACCGGCTCGGCGAATCGGTTACTTAGGCCAGGCTCGAGTAAGCACGAGAAGTCACGTGAGAGGTAAATCGAACGCTGTCGCACTTGCACGAGTAGCGCAGGGGAAATAATCGAACGCACTGCTTATTTAACTGAAACACAACAATAATAAATTAATGGATACTCACAGCCATCATTGTGGAGTTTTTGGAACCTTGACTTCATCTCCAGTTTTAGCTTTAGGATTCCTTAAGAGTGTACCGTGAAAGAATGCTGCTCAAGTTGTATTATTACAGGCCAAACTTTTGAGGTGTCCTCTTGGTTTGGATAGATATAATGATGATGAAGCCAGAGATGAAGCAGAAGCTAGGGATAAAGTGTTTTCAAAAGATTTCACAACCCCTTTAATAGGGCTATTAAATACTAGAGCCCTAACTTGCTATATAAAGTGAAGCCTACTGTACGCATACATGTACATGTTTGTGCACAAACCTATGGAAAACTGGAATACAGCTACTTGTATATCTGCACTTGTATTCTATGCTGAGCTAATTAATGCCAAATACCGAAAGACACAATCAGTATTAAATGAGCGTTTTATTTTGCTGTGCGCAAACGCAAACATGTGCATCATACTTTTAGAAAATGTCGTTGTTCACGTTTGTTGTGCTTGCGTGTTGCATTTAGAGTACATTATTCCGAATTCATTCCATCTATTTTCATTATGTTCTACAAACAGGCCCGTAAATTCAAAATGCCATACAATGACAACCGTGATTAATATGATAGATGATGTGAGTATTGCATAAATTGTACAAGTGGAAGGCTTAAAATTTAATACGCCTCTTGCCATGTCAGGCTTATTTTTCCAGTATTATTCTTATCCAAGTTTGCCAAAGGTAATGAAGGATCAGGTTTCTGTATAAGTCGCTTATAAATTATGTATATTTAATGACATAATTTACCTCACATGTGATTATTCATCCTTCAAGCTACATGTTAAAGATTCAAACGGTAGGTGCACAAATCAAGATTAAGGACTGACTCTCACAGGTAAAACAATCAACTTTCAGTGAATAATCATCCTAGCAAAGGGTCAAATTGGACATAAAAACTGCTCCTACAGAACCACTAATTCATCATGAGCTGTCATATGTAGTGTGTCAGTTGTTAAATTCGAACTTGGAATTCTTTTCGCATCACTTATCCTTGCTAAGTAGTTTTTTTCTTAATTAGCAGGTACTGAAATTGAACATTAACTTGAAACAAGTCATAATTCTCCAGAACTCGATCACTCATTGCATAGCTTTGTTAAGGGTGATGAACATTCTATCTGAGCTAGTTTCTCCTCCTTCAAGCGTTGGATTGAATTCATTAGGTCATCAAGTCGCTCTGAATCGTTATCTACAGCAGGAGAATAACACAAACATATATTGAATTTAGAATTTGGTATTAAACTTTTGCTCTGTAATGGCGTATGTGCATGAACTGTAGAGGACAATCTCTGATCAACTAACGAGGAAATTAAGGGTAAAGAACATTACTACCTGTCAGTAAATTTGTCCAAAATTGGCCATGCTGTCCAAAACAAGATTGTCGTGCTGTCAGTTTCTATAAAATATAGTTTTACCAGGCCAATGCACTTAAGGGTTTGTACAAATGAAAAAGTCCAGCTCTTAAGAAGGTATCTCAAGTATTTTTATGACATTGAACCCTGAAGATACATGATTGCAATAGCTTGGATGTATGTGTCTTCCAAGATAGTGGAGGAAAATATATATTTATTACAACAGAAAGAGCGTCTGTTAAACGTAATTTGGTGTGTTCTTAATATTTTTCCGGACTTCGGGAAGTGAAGCATGTTGAATCTGACCCTTTCATAGAGAGAAAGTGCCCCCTTTAATGTTAACTGTTTTGGAAAAAATCACCGCATGAACTTGAATGGAGAGCTTCCACAGCAACACAGGAGATCCACAGGCACAACCGCCAGCTAGAACTGGCACCAAAGTTGGATCCGGGTATGAAAGTGATCAGAGTTGGATGCCATTTGAGTGAGGTTGTCCAAGGCATTTGAGTAAAGTTGTCCCGTTTCATGTCAGAAAGAAAGTCGAGAATGAGCTGGACAAACTGCTTCGCCTTGACATCATTGAGCCTGTACGCAATAAGCCAACCCCATAGGTTTCACCCATCCACGTGGTCGAAAAGCCTAATCGACCATGCGAGATTCGCATGTGTGTTGATATGCGAAACGTAAACACTGCCATCAAGCGAGAGCGTCACATTACACCCACCATCGACGACATTCTTGCCCGGGTCAACGGATCCACCATCGTCAGCAAACTTGACCTAAACGCAGGTTACCACCAAGTTGAATTGGCCCCAAGTCTCACCATCTGACTGTGTTTTCAACACACAAGAACCTGTTCCGTTACAAGCGTTTAAACTTCAGCGTTTGCTCTGCAGCCGAAGTTTTCCAGAACGCCATCTCTTCTGCGCTCCGCGGCCTCGCAGGCACACTCAACATCAGCGATGACATCTTAGTGTTTGGCCGCAGTCAACAGGAACACGACGCACGCCTCACAGCCTGTCTGCAACGCATTCACGAATGTAACCTGACTCTGAACAGAGACAAGTGTAGCTTCGGCAAATCACGTGTCGAATAATTCGGACATGTATTCAGCTCCACCGGCATCTCCCCCGGCAAGAAGAAAGTAGATGCCATCCAAAATGTACCTGACCCTACCAACACAAGCGAAGTACGCAGCTTCCTCGGACTGGTCACGTACTGTAGCCGGTTCATACCTGATCTTGCCACCGTTTCCGCACCCTTCTGCGAGTTGACAAAGAAAGACACACCCTGGCAATGGGGACCTGAACACCAGCTAGCACTCCGCCAGATCCGCGAAGGAGTTGCGCATTGTTGGAAAAATGAACTCGTAGTTGATGCCAGCCCAGTTGGCCTAGCTGGTATCCTCGCCCAACGCAATGACAAGGATGAACTTTTGATTGTTGCTCTCGCGAGCAGATCACTAATGCCCCAAACTCGATCGCATCTTTGCCACATTCTGCATGCTGAAGGTAGTCCGCACTGACAACGGACCACCCTTTAACAGGACGGAGTTTTTATCCTTCGCAGCCTACCTGGGGTTCCATCATCGGAAAGTCACCCCACGTTGGCCCTGTGCCAATGGGGAGGTGGAACGCTTCATGAAAACAGTAAAAAAGACATATCGTACTGCAATCGCTGATGGCATGCCATGGAAGCAAGGTCTGTACAAGTTCTTGCAAAACTACCACGCAACACTGCATGCCACAACAGGAGTTGTACCTGCTGCACTACTCTATGACAGGCCACTCCACACCCGTCTCTTTGAAACTCCACACAAGTCTCGGGCCAAAGCGGGCCCCGAACCCCACGCCGTAAGTTTTTTTGACCCACTTTTTAGTGGGACCAAATTTTTTTTGGCCCCCCAAAAAATTGTGTTCTGGATCCGCCCTTGTAGAGACATCAAAATAAGGACACTCAAACAGTTCAGAATTTATTTCGACATTGTTTTATTCAATCATCATCTTTAAATTCGACAGATTCCATTTTCACATGTGCATAACTTTTATTCAAGGTGGAACATGGGGAAAAGGATGTAGTACTCATTAATCTAAATTTGTCACCTAAGGCGCCCCATACCGATCGAGAATAAAGGCCAAAGGTCACTTAGTCAGAAGTCACGACAGCCCAAGCATCCCAAGTTACCCCAAACACCCCCCCCCCCCCCCAATCTACACCTATACACTTCTAAGTTGCTCTAGTGGCTTATTTCCTGACCATTGACAGGGTTTATTTTGACTGCCCCCAACAAAATATTTCATTCCCCCCCCCCCCCCCAGCAAAGTTTAGAGTCTGGTGCCGCCACTGAAAATTGAAAATTAGTGCCTCCATCACAACATTTAAATTGTGCCCCCCCTCTAGATTGAAACTGGTCCCTACAAAATTATAGTGCTCTTCACAATTATTTGTTACTTGTTTTAGTGAACAAAATGGTCACTGAACTGGCCATCAAAAGCAACAGTGCTCCTCTCGTGATAAAAAAAAAGGTCTCTCTACATAATGTCAAGGTAAAAGAAACACAAAGAGCAAAATGGACAAGATGTGATGCGATCAAGGTAAATGAGTCGTTTGTCAGAAATTTTAATTTGGAGATACAGGCCAAAATAGGGCCACTTCATCGCATCACTTCATCACATTGCTTGGTGTTCCAACTTCCATAATTTTTGCACTAAAGATGGTATCAGCATGCGGTTTTCACAGCAGTAATGCTGAGGTTGTATTCTCTCCAAATCTGTAATAAAAAAAATATTTGACCAGGGTCGACAAACGACTCGTGTAGCTTTATCGCGCATCACATATTCATAATTTGTTCCTCATCATACACATGTAGGTTTATAGTAAAATGAACAGGACCATATTTTTTTCTTCTACTTTCACACCGACTGAAGGTGCCCCTTTTTCTGAGCAAGTGCCCCATTTTGGTGTTGCCCCCCCCCCCCCCCCCAGTTTGAAAAGCCTTCCGCCACCCCTGATCCAAAAGGGATATTTCTTTTACTCACCCTGTACAATGGTATTGTATTCTTGCAGAAAAAAAGAAAGGCTGACGAGAAAGATAAAAAAAAAAGGAACATTGTAATTTTTTCATAGAAACTTTATATTCTGACCAGTACTGCATATCCCTGATCATAAATTGACTTTACTAACCTTTACAAAGTGATGAATTTGAATGTGATTTCCAGATTTTATTTTTGACCTTTCCTGGCAATTCCTACAAGTGTGCAGAAATTGTAAATTGTTTCAAAAAAAAAAAATTAGCACACAGACTGATTTGGGAATTGAGATAATAATGGTTAGTTATATACATATATATTTTTTTAAATCTTCAGTCAATTTCTCTTTTCCACTTATAATTATTATGCATAAACCTTGTCAGTTTTCCTTCATTGTAAAAAATTGATGAAAAAAATCTAAATAAATCAATACGTACACATGTATATATCAATTGATTGTAAGGATTGATACATAATGTTCTGTCAGAAGCCAATATGGCCCATCAAGCTGATGTTTATCTCCAGTTTCAGCGGCATGCAATGACAGAATATTTCTATCCCCCCGGATGGGATGCCAGTCCATCACAGGTAAATGCTGGTACCCATTTATACTCCTGGGTGAAGATAAGTGGGGGTGAAGTGGCTTGCCCAAGGACACAACTTTGGCCAGCAGCTGGATTTGAACCCTGTTATGTATATATGTCAGCATTTACATTTTTTTCTAGACCTCTGGTCAGAAGATTAGGTCAGAAGAAGTGGTGGCACAGATATATAGCAAATGACTTTCCAATGACCAAAATCAATCCTAGTGCGACTATAGGTAAAAATTGCCAAAAATAAAAAATAACGAACAATCGGTGTTATAACTTTTTTTGGCAAAAGTAAGTCAATGCAAACATGTCTTAAGTGACTTAAATGCCACTTACTGTTACTTAACTGCTGAACAACTAGCATAATAAGGCGAATGACAAGGCGAAAAAGTGTTCACATCCCTCCAGTCACCATCATGGACCTCGACTTCGCAGACAACTTCAAATTTGACCTCAAATGTAGCGGAGCAAGCCAGAAGGATGCTGCTGGTGGTCAAGAGAGTGTAAGAAGGTCATGCTACAGCTCAATGCCAAGAAGACCAAGGTCATGGCATTCAACACTGAGGACACCACTGTTACTGCCATGGATGGTACTGTGCTAGAGGTTTGCAGGGTTTCAAGTACTAGACTGCTTTGATCGCCTCAACGGAGCAGGGGCCTACAGATGGAGCGCACTCCACAACATGAAGTCAGCATAGAAATCTGAGCTCAGAGATGACTTCAAGTGCCGTCTATTCATCGGCACAGCAGAAGGCACTGGATGGGTGCTACATGCACATCCTGCACTTGGTGCTCAATGGCTATGAGAGGACTACATGCGAAGGTGTAAATTAAAGTCGGGGAGAAAGGAGGCTAGCTAGTCACTGTGTCTGCCACTCAGAGCTCGCTGCCTGCCCTCTCATACTATGGGAGCCCACGCAGGGCACCACCAAACTGAGTTGTTGGCACCAAACATCTGTTGACGTACTGAAGCCAGCCACTGGACAAAGAAATAAGGACTATCATGCTGAAGAGGGGCATACTGAGAAAAAGGACTCATGACACCCAAGTTGGTGATGTTCTTGTATGACTAATAGCATTTAGTCATTTTAGTTCACCAAATGCCATGAAAGATTGTAAACCCTGGAGTTTACAATGTGGCACATCATTTCGTTCCTGCATTCACCAAGTGCAAATTCAGCAATGACAATGAAATTCTTATATACCGAGCAGGGGCGGATCCAGGAATGTTTGCAGGGGGGGGGGGTCCAGGCCCATCGGATTTCTTTATGTCTGATTGTGGCGGACATGTAGGTAAGTATTATTACTATAATTGATATAATTTTGTTTTGGTGTCAGAGCGGGGGAGGGGGGGGGGTTCTGACCCAGAAAACCTCTCTTGATCTCTGCCCGACAGTGAGTGTCCTAAGGTAAAAGTAACTACAATTGTATGTCTGGCATTGGGAGTGGGTATTGTTCAAACTATATTTTAAAAACTAATCAGTATATATGTCAGCATTTACATTTAAAAGACAAATATGTGTTTGTACCTCACTTTAAGCAAGAGGATAGAAATTTAATTTTATAGGCAATTGTATTTTCAATCAGGCAATTGTATTTTCCAAAAACTGAAACAATGCTTTAAGCTGTTAAGCCTGCCCAATCACAGCAAGGTCCAAGGATGGACCCAACAACAATATCTTCTCCCAATTTTCCATTTTCCGCAAGTCCTGCAAATTCGAAAAGCGGTTGGAGGGGGGGGGGGCTGGGCCATATTTTGACGCTAGGGGCCCCTCTTTTTTTCTTAGCATGTTATTCACATTTCATAAAGATGTGCAGTTCAGGGAAGTCAAAAATAGTCATCTAGATTTCTCTTCATTTTAATCACTCAAACAAATACTTTCAAACGACCCTGGGGGGACACCTGGGGGGCACTGGGAATTTGTGCCCCCCCTCCCCCCCAGCCCCCACTTGGCTATGCCACTGATGACTCATGACATGGACTGGGACTAGGACTCGAGTCCGACTTGAGTCCAATTACCATTACTCGGACTCGGGTCATGATGACACATGACTCAGCCTTGGACTCAAACTTAACTTGCGTGACTTGGGACTCCACCAAACTTACCACAAATCACAAATTGTTTTGAAGACAACGCTTTCCTGAGCAAGCGATACAGTCTTTGCCGTGCAAAAGAAACACATTTAAGTACTGGCTGGCTTGTTTTGAAAAATGTACCCCAGCGTCCACACTTGATGTTATGTAAATACTAGCTTGATAGTGTTTGATACCAGATTATCTGACGCCTTGCCTTATTTGACATGTATGTATTTTTTTATTCCATCTTATGAATATTTCCAGTTCATTACATTAGAGAAAAGCTGTGAAAGAAATGGAACATTTACGCTGTGAGGTTTGAAGTTTATTTCCAATATAAATTAAGGGTAACTCATGACTCAGACTCAGATTCAACCATTGTGACACATGACTCGGACTCAACCTGCATGACTCAGGACTTAGGAGAGGCGACTCGGACTCAACTCGATGTTTGGTGACTCAAATACAAGTCTGCATGTGGCTGAAACATGCTATGTGGCCTACACGCAAAGTGGTTGGGCCTTATGGTCATTTCTGAAACGTTCCATTAGAGGGATGGGAGAAAACACATTGTCATCATTATGATACCATTAAGATTGGTCACCTGTGTGTCCTTGCTTTGGTTGCTCTGTTCTTTCTGGACAGGTTTGATGATGAGGCTTGCTTGCAAAAGTACAAGATGGTACTGATGTTCTGGGTGGTTGCTGTACCTAAAAATTCATTAAAAAGATCTCCCATTTTAACAAGCTAATTAAGTAGAACACACTTATTTATTTATTAATTTTTTTAGCAGCAGTCATAGATTAATCAATGCAATGCTCATAACACTTTTGATGCGCCTAAAGCATTTTCGAAGGCAGAATGCTGGACCGAGCAATTGTAGAAGTGGTGAATACTTTCAGTGACCTGCATCGTATTTCCAGAAATTACATAACAATTTTGCTGTGTAGCTACAATTGCAACATCGGAGCAATCGAGAGCCAATATTTGCAAAACAAGGACTTCTTTGCATTGCACATTGCTAAGGTATTGCATATATATGAAAAAAAGTAAAACTGCTGCAAACTGCTTACTGACTGGATGGACCTGGAATATATAAATCTTAAAATTAATCTATCCCCAGAAATCTAGCTCTCACGGGAAAGACCCCCGATGCCATGGCCAAACCCATGATTCCCTTGGTTACCACGTTTCACCCCAATCTCCCTCCCCTTCGCAAAATCACTAATGACAATCATCATATCCTCCACACTTCAGATCGCCTTGCCCGCGCCATCCCCGACGGCCCCACATTGGCTAACAGGCGTCCTCGAAATCTACGGGACTTGATTGTTCGAGCTGAAGTCCCTTCCTTAGATGCATCCCCTCCCACCCAGCATGGTACTTTCAAGTGCAGTTCCAGATGTGTTGTCTGCCAGATTCATATCCAGGAGTCTGACTCCTTTTCTGGCCACTCTTCTGTCACTACCCACAGAACCATTGGTAACATCACTTGTAACACCTCTAATGTCATATATCTCATTTCTTGCAGGGTCTGTGGAGTGCAGTATGTAGGTGAGACTAAGAATACGCTCAAGAAGCGTTTCTATGCCCACCGGTCAACGGTCAACACCAAGAAACTAGACACCCCTGTTGGTCATCACTTCAACCTGCCTAACCACTCCATTTCTGATATGATTTTGCAGGGCATTGAATCTCTTGGCCATCGCAAGGACTCAGTTCGCCTCAGCAGAGAGAAAGTGTGGATGAATCGTCTTCGAACTATTCAACCACATGGTCTCAACATCCAACTTGGAAATGACTAATCCTTTGCTTCCTCCATTGTCTTCTTTTACAGATAATCCACCTGGTCTTCCTTGTTTGTGTTTACCCATCTTCCCCCATCTTTCATCCCTTTCTACCTCCATACTGTCCCCCCCCCCCCCCCCCCCCCCGCATCATCCCTTCACTCTCACACTCTTTTGTCCGTTCCCACTCCCTGTGACCTTTGATCCTTCCCCTTTCTGGTCCCTCCCCTGTTTACACAAGACCCCTTGTGGTTTGCCCTCTCCCTTTGTTTCTTTGTTCTCTCATCCACCCTCCCCTGCATCTTTCCACACCTTTCACACCTAATCCTCCTTTTGTGTTTCTTCTTTCAGCCCTGCATGTTTGTGTGCACCCCCATGTTAATGTATGTACCTCTGTCATTTCTGTTTTAGCCTCTGAAGAAGAACTTGCTAAGTTCGCAACGTCAGGCCACATTAATTTTAAGAAGTACAATGTATTGCATATATGTAAGTCACTTAAACTTGCCAGTGAAGCCGCAACTGAGCAAAGGGCCTATCATCATCTTACAAATGTAATGCACAATTACACACTAACAATGGTTTCACACAAAAAAGGAAAGTTAGGGGAACCACTGGGAGGGACATTTGAACACATTGCTGATGGTGCATTGTGCCGAAGTTAAAATGCCACGGGTCCAGGCACATTCACCGTAAAATCAGTGTCCCCTCCATCTACCCTTTATGTATGGAGTCCCAAGTTGTTGTTTTTTTTAATGTGAGGGTCCCACTTTAAGTGTCAACCTCTGAGCCCAAGAGGGCGCCCTTTTAAGTGCAGTTCTCATATGCACTCTGCATGAAATAAGTGCAGGATAGCCAGAAACGATCCGGTAAATATCCCGTTTTTATGTTGCTTTTAAATCATGATTTGGGTGTAATGAATGAACAGTGGGTATCGTAAAGGATCACAGAAGTATCTGAAACTGGAGATTAATCTTGGGTTAGATCAATTTGCATTGATTTTGGATAACTTTTGTTGCCTAAACTTTGATTCACAGAACCCGCGTGTCACAACTTTTACACGTAGATTTTGTATTCAATTTGTACTTGTACACTGTGAAGCGTTGCTTTCTATACAGCATTACGCTCACGTGCGCGCTGTACATGTGGGAACTTTTGGTCACCTTTGGGGTCGTATCCATGACAATCGCGCACGGTACATGTATTATTTTCTATTTTAAGCTGCGCGCTGTGAAATGCATGATTTTACAGGGAAGTTTGTTTATAAATTTAAACTATATTTACATTACTTTCATGTATGCTAGGTACATTGCACAAGGTGATGACACAGGCTTATAATCCATGATTGCAAACCAACAAGAGTTGGGTGAGTCAAGGTTATATTTTGATTGCGTTTATTTACTATTATTATGTTGTAGAGATTTAATTATTTAATGCCGTAGAACTTGTATGATTAACTTTTGTATCAGATATTTATTTATGTTGTTATATTTCAGGGATTTGATACACAAGAGTTTTTATACACCAAGGATTTTATACACCAAGGATTTTAATGAACCAAGACCTGAATGAATTTCTTTGTTGGGAGTCCTCTTGCCGTGAGGGCACACACCCTCCAATCCGAAGGATCGTCAGTTCTTCAAACCCAGGGACGCTGCCGCCGGGCGTCGCCTACCCTCACATTACCATGAACGAAGACAAATAAAAAGATGCTATTGACAAACCTCTTGTGTTGGTTTTGATATCCTCCTGACTGGTCTGTACTTGCTTGATATTATCTTGACTGGTGAGGTATCATGCTGTGGATATCTGTCAGAACTTCCCCTGCCAAGCTAAGGATAAGCAATGAGAACTAAAGTCATTGTTTAATGTCAACACCTCAATTAAACTCACGTTATGTCTAAACCAACTCGTATTACTCGTACTTCTGAAACCTTCATTGACCATGTCTGGACATCTTGTCCAGAAATGTACTCACACAATGGTGTTTAACATCAACTGTAAGTGACCATTCACTAATCTATGCTGTGCATAAAGGTCAGCTCCTAAGGGGCCTGCCTGTAACATCAGGGGATGGTCGTACCGTACAGTTAATGAAAGTGATTTTATTAATGACCTTAGACAGGTTCCTTGGAGTGATATTGAAACATCTGACAACCCTGACCTTGCGTGGAACATTTTTGGGCACAACTATAGAATACAGGGCCACTTCACTCTATATCCGCGCCTCCGTATGGCTGCGTGGAGCCGTAGTCGACCTACCTCCGAGAATTGCACCCTCTACTGGCGCGCGACTCTGTGACTCCAAGACTCTGCGCTTCCACGGCTCCAGTGCCCCGTCACAAGCGCGCCCTCCCTTCCTCTGCGAGGAAATTAACATGGATATGGATGCTTCGTTCTAAAAAAAATGAAGTCCTAGGATCATTCATATGGATATGAGCCACAGTAGTCGACCTACTGCCGAGAATTGCGCCCTCTACCGGAGCGCGACTCCAAGACTCCAAGGCTCCGCGCCTCCATGGCTCCAGTGCCCCTTCACAAGCGCGCCTTCCCTTCCTTGAGAAGACAAGTGCATCCGCTGTACTTAGAATTTTTTGCACGTCTGCATATTATTGTACTTTATGCCCACTGACCCCATCTGTTTCCACGGTGACTGCTCTATGTTCCGACACCCCTATGTTCCGACAACCTAGATTGTGTTACTCCCGGTTAGGGTTAGGGTTAGGAATAGGAATAGGAATATGTGCAGTCGGAACATAGAGGTGTTGTAGTGAAATTCCTACAGCAGCTGTATATATTATGTGCAGTCCTGGCCGAAGAAATAAAAAGTCAGTTAAGTCCTTTTTTGTTCCGAGTTCTGCCCTAGTGGCCAAGGCATTTTTGTGTTCTATTGTGTTCAGTTCTTTTGACTGGGCAGGGCAGGGCATTCCATTCTACGCGTCGGTATATAAACCAGGAGCACATGCTTTCACCACCCCACTCCTTCGCTGTGTAGAGACTTAGCAGTGTTATAGTCGTCTACTCTACAGTTCCAGTCGCCATTTTTATGCCATATGTGTCCGGATACAGGAATAGGAACCATTAGGTAGTGTTTGCTCCTTACAGTGACTGTTCCCGTGGAAGGACACACTAGTTTTTGTATATACGCCTGTAAATAATTATCATCGACCAAACCAAGAGAAGTTTGACGAACAACCAGGAGTCCAGAAGAAGCCGCTGCAAGTTTAGAGCGCAGACTCCAGATATTAATTTAGGGTAAATATTTATAATATAACTTAGTCCCTAAAACTGGTGACCCTGACGTTGGCCGAAACTCTTTCATTTACATTTTCATTCCGTCGGCTAACATTAAAAATAAAATTTGTAGCGTTGTATAAAAATATTTCTCATAAGTAGTTCATAAGTAGGGAATGATTCGTTGTTTATTCGCTGCGGATTCGCGAGGACATAATTTCAACAAGTATCCCAAAGCATCACAGTTTCCTTTTGCCATTGATTATTTGACATATCGCGGTGCTAAAATTTATAATCTTGTAGGTCCAGTTGTCCGGAAACTTCATACTTACAATCAATCTGACCAAGTGATAGTCAGATTAGCCGCAGGAATTAATGATTTAACAACTTTTGTTTATGATACAACTCGCGATAGAAGAGTACTTAAGCCTTCTTAAGTTTTCTGAAATGTGTAGATCCTTTTCTTTTGACCGACAGGCACTTCGAAGTAATTCTTCAGTTTAGAAATTATGTACATACGTTTCATTTAATTTAAGTATATTTGTTACCCAAGTATGGCCAAAGCACCAGAGACAGTAGAACCTTTGTATGCGGTTAGCCTTAAATTGCCACCTTTTTGGCCACACGATCCTACAATATGGTTCGCGCAAGTAGAGGCGCAGTTTCAAACTCGCCAAATTACAAGCCAGTCAACTAAATTCGCGTACGTAGTATCGTCACTACAACCAGAAATCGCGCAAGAAGTTCGGGAACTATTAATTAGCCCTCCTGCAGGTGACCAATATGACAAGTTGAAATCGGAACTCATTAAACGAACATCAGAATCCGAGCAAAAAAGATTGCACCAACTTTTAATTTCTGAGGAACTCGACGATAGAAAGCCATCACAGCTTCTCCGCCGTATGAAGCAACTTCTAGGAGAAAACAATCTCGAAGAAAAAATCTTGCGACAATTATTTCTCCAACGTTTGCCTCAGAACATACAATTGATATTGGCATCGACTAGTGATAGTGTAGACTTAGAACAGTTGGCAGTTATTGCCGATAAAATCTTAGAAGTCGCATCTCCGCCCACAGTAGCCACTTCTACCGAAGTGAATGCAATGTCCTCATCCCACGCAATTGAATCGCAAATGGATGAATTACAAAGTCAGGTCAACCAATTAACAGCTCTAGTTCAAACACTTGTTGTCAACAGTCAACAAAGTAAACGTAACCGTGACTTTTCCTCTCGTGGGCGTAGTCGAGAGCGTTCTAAAAGTAAAAGTAAAAATACCGAAAGATACAGAAGTCCGTCTAAGTCTAGAAGTGACGTACCACGCGCGGGTTCCGAGTGCTGGTACCACTGGCGATTTGGAGACGAAGCTACTAAATGTGTCAAACCTTGTTCCTACACTGAGACTAAACCTAAGACGGCAAATCAGGAAAACTAGAAAGCCAGCAACTAGGGACGACGAGTTTGTCTGGCAAAACAAACAGTCGTCTATTTTATATTACAGACAAAACTACTGGTACTAGATTTCTAGTTGACAGTAAGCGTGATACCACCTACCAGTAAAGATAAATGCAACTGTAGTTCATATACGTTACAAGCGGTTAATAAAACCCCCATTACCACTCACGGAGAGAGATCTATGACTTTGAATATCGGATTAAGGCGTAATTACAAATGGATTTTCATTATCGCAGCTGTGCCTGTACCGATTATCGGCGCTGATTTCCTGAAGCATTTTTCTCTAGTGGTAGATGTTAAAAATCGCAGGTTAATTGATTCACTAACCGAACTGACAGTTTCAGGTAACAAAGCCTCTGTAATTTCACCTAGCCCAATATTTGCCATGCCTAACAGTGACAATGCTATTACTTCCTTGCTTAGCCAATATCCAGAAATAACTAGGCCAAACTACAAGGAAAATTCCGTTAAGCACAATGTCACTCATCACATTAAAACTACTGGACAACCAGTGTATGCACGTCCTAGACGACTTGCTGCAAACAAACTGCCAGCAGCTAAAGCCGAATTTGATCATATGTTGGAATTAGGGATTATTCGCCAATCAGATAGTCAATGGTCCTCACCTTTACACATGGTGCCTAAAAAATCCGGTGATTGGAGACCTTGTGACGATTATCGTGCTCTAAATAATATCACAGAACCCGATAGATACCCCATTCCGCATATCCACGATTTTACGTCAAGTATACATGGTAAAAAGATCTTTAGCAAAATCGATCTAGTTAAGGCTTACCATCAAATACCTATTGCGACTGAAGACATTCCTAAAACCGCGATTACTACACCTTTCGGCCTCTTCGAATATATTCGTATGCCGTTCGGTTTAAGGAATGCAGCTCAAACATTTCAGAGATTTATCGATCAAGTCTTGCATGGTCTCGATTTTGTTTACGCATATATCAATGATTTATTGATAGCGAGTGATGATGCCGAACAGCATGAATGTCATCTTAGGCTACTTTTCGATCACCTTCGTGAATTTGGTGTTGTAATCAACCCAAGCAAATGTGAGTTTGGAGTAACTAGCCTAGAATTCTTAGGTCATAACATCGACTGTCGCGGTATCAGACCTTTGGAAAGTAAGGTTAAGGTTATCCAAGACTTCCCAGCACCAACCTCACTGCGTAAACTGCGAGAATTTTTGGGATTGATACATTTCTATCGGCGTTTTATTCCACACTGCGCTGACATTTTGCAACCTTTGACAGATCTTCTTTGTTGCAAGCAAAAGAACATTGCGATTGTGCTTTCAGAACAAGAATTACTTGCCTTTCAAAGAGCTAAATCCACTCTAGCTGAAAACACCTTGCTAGTCCATCCAGTTAGCGATGCTCCACTTTGTTTAATGGTCGATGCGTCAAATTTTGCGGTTGGTGGTGTACTTAATCAGTGCATAGATAATGAAATGAGACCAATCTCGTTTTTTTCTAAGCGTTTACAGCCAGCAGAGACCAGGTATAGTACATTTGGTCGTGAGTTGTTGGCCGTATACTTATCGATACGCCATTTCAGATACTTTCTAGAAGGTCGTGATTTTTATATCATAACTGATCACAAACCTTTGATTTACGCATTCAAGGCAAAGCCAGATCGCTACTCACCGAGAGAAATTCGTCATTTAGACTACATATCTCAATTCAGTACCGACATACGCCACATTAAAGGCAAAGAAAACGTTGTAGCAGATGCGCTCTCAAGGTATGACGTGAACTCACTTAATCACACAAGCCTATCAAACACAATTGTGGATTTCGATCAAATAGCACTTAAGCAAAAGACAGACCCAGAGCTAATTAAGCTACGTGAATCGTCTAGTCTTCATTTTGAAGAATTGCCTATTCTAACATCACATAATACCATTATTTGTGATACATCAACTGGTCAACCACGCCCATATATTCCATCAGAGTTTAGGCATGATATATTTGATTCACTCCATGGTCTATCCCATCCAGGCATTAGAGCAACACAACGCTTAATAACTCAAAGATTTGTATGGCCTTCTATCAATAAAGATGTTCGAAATTGGACCAAACATTGCATTCAGTGTCAACGTGCCAAGGTACATCGTCACACAGTGAC